ATTATTTATGTGTTTGCTTCTGCAGCCCCTATCTATGTGTTATTCTGTTGAGAGGCCTTTGGTAATCCAAGGATTACTGGCTGGTTACGTCGCTAAACCCATAAGGGCGGGTTTGGGTCGTGCCATTGCGCTCGAGCGACCACCTTTATTTTTGAACCTTAGTTCAAGTGAAGGAACTTGCGCTCAAGCGAAGGCCCTGTTTTCAAAAATTTAACTAAGTGTTACAACTCATATTTTGGCATCCTCTTAAGCCTTAATTAAGACATAATAATGAGGATAAGAGTTAAAAACACACTAAGATAGAAAAGAAATGAGTTAAGTGTTTTTCGAATGTGTATCTGCTATGTGTGTGTGTAGATCACGCGCCTTAGCCTTTTGGTTTGTTTGATTTGTCTGATTTGCTATTGGAGCCATATGTGAGTATGTTTGACTTCAATTATTTTCTGATGATATGAAATGATCAGTTTTCTAACATGCTATGTTTTATATGAATGAATGATTGGCCAAGTTTCTGAAATGTATTCATGGCATCCTTAGCATCATATGATATGCATCCCTTTATAAGTCATCGGAATGCCTTTATGGCCGTCCCTTTATGGGTCATCGGAAACGTCTTTGTGCACATGAGTCATCAGAATGCCTTTATGGTCGTCCCTTTTATGGGTCATTGGATGTGTTAGCATTAATGGATGTATCACGTATGATCATATTGAATATGTGAGCTCTGAACACGAATATGAATATGAATATGAATATGAATATGAATTTGTTTCTGATCTGAATTCTGATTTCTGAATTTGTTATGGACATCATTCATTAAAACCTTTACTCTATTATTATCCACTGGGCTGCAGCTCACAGTATTATTTTTTGTATGTAGGTGATTAGGCGCGTGATCAGGCCTAAACTGTTGCCTGGATTCTTTTGGGTCGGCCAGCCACTATACTTCCCGAGAAGGTTCCCGTGTTGATGTGGTCATGTTTTGTAATCAAATTTTGAGTTTTGTTCTCTTCTATCTGACTGAACAAGTGTTTGTAAGTTGTATTTATGTGGGCTTTGGTAGCATAAGACTAATGTAAATATGACGTCATGTTTATGTATATAAATTTTTAATTTTTTTTTTGTTCCATGTATGTCTACACAACCCTACGGACGTTTTATGTTTGTAATTGCTTCCGCTAACCCTTATATTTTGTTTATTCTGTTCAGAGGCCTTGGGTAATCCCATGATTACTGGCTGGTTACAACACTAACCTATAGAGGCTGGTTTGGGTCGTGACAAATAATCTGTTTAAGAAGACAGTAAAGTGTTACTCTAATAATCAGTAACATGTTACTGTCAAACAGAGTAACGTGTTACAATTTACGTTAATTTTGAAAGTAATTTTTTTTTTATATAGCAAATTTCATAGTCAACATAAATTTTATTTGATAGATTTTGATGAGAAAATTCTAAAAATATTAATTTTATTTAAAATTGACTTCTATATCAAAAGTTATATTATTTTAAAGTTTAAAATATTAAATTACTCACTGAGGATATTTTGGTAATAGTGATATGTGCTGAATTTTTCAAGACTTTTTTTTTTTTGTGCTTGTCATTAATGCATTAAGATTTTATTATGAGGGGGTTTTAACCAAATCTATTCCCACTGCATTGTTATTTTCTCTTTAGGAATGGCTTCCCTTTAGTCCAATCACGAACTGGAGGGCACTGTTGGCCCCGTGGGCCCCACCACAAGTTCCGTTTTGATAATCTAAAACGTTTAATGTGTAGAACTCGTTGAGTATTATACGCCTGTAAAAAATCACGTTGATTGAATATCGATAGCTACGTAATTAAATCAGTTTTGTATAAAAAAAAATGGATAGTGAAGAATAAACGACTTACAAAAATCTAATTTGATCACATAGGTATCGATATCCGATCAACGTGATTTTTTAGAAATATATAGTACTCAACGAGTTCTACATATTGAACGGTTCAAATTATCGAAACAAGACCCGTGGTGGGTCTCCACGAGCCCAACAATACTCTCTAGTCCGATCACAGACTAGAAGAAAGCCATTCCCTTTCTCTTTATTATAGCCTTTGAGAATGAAACAATGTCCTTGGCAATTGTGTAGTTAACATAAAGATGTGACAAAAATTAATATGGCCCTGTTTTGTTAGGGGTATATAAGGAGCGGATGTGAGGGGGACCGGATATAATATGAGATGGGTCCTACATGTTTTCTTGTCTCCCTATATCTCGTGTTTGGTTACTTCGGATATAGAGAGTCCGGATTATATCCCCCAAAAGGGGATATGCAATACCAATCCCTTGGTATTGTATATCCCCCACCGTCGGATATAGGGAAGCTTTCATCCAAATGTCAAAAATAATTACTCTCTTTTTATCTCATCCTATATTCTTTCTTAACCAAACATAATATAAGTGACCCCACAATATATATAATCCATCTCATATCCTACAACATATTCGATCGCATTTTTATCCTTAGATATTATATATCATCTTCAAATCCTTACATCCAATCCAGACAATCAAACGCGACCTATAATCCTAAACCTAGTTTCAATAAAAATATACATACATATATAATGTGTATTTGCATATATATAGAATTTCCCATATAAATCATACTCTCACAAACATAACATGACATGCGGTTGCAATGTCATCAAACTTTATTTTTCAATTTTCTATATAAATGTACATATATATATATATATATATTTTAATTTTCTACACAATATATACATGGTTTGTTTTATTTTTCTTAAATTTTCTTTATTTAGTGTCACTTTCATAGTTAGAAAAAGAAATTCGTTTGTTTTATTTTTCTTAAATTTTCTTTGTTTTAATGTCACTTTCATAGTTGGAAAAAGAAATTTGAGACATGAGATAAGAGATAAGAGAGAAATGGAACGGTAGATCTCGTGAATTGTATATATTATCAATTGATAATTTTCTATTTTTTTAAAAATGAATAATAAAGAGTTATAGTCTTATTGTAAAGGTTATTTTTGCAAAGTGCAAATAGCTAATTGAATTAATGCATCCATAATCCATCCATTCATCAACAATCAATTTTATTTTCATTGATGCATGTACATCTCTTAGGAAGCTTGATATAGGACACTTTACATTAAATCATCATCAAATCATCAAAAACTTTTGTCTTATCAATATGTAGTCATCACACTTCACAATCCAAGTTTTGGCTGGACATGATTTAGTCCTTGGACTGACCTCACATATATGAAATTATTGATTATACTATACACAAATTGGCCTCTTTGATGCCTGGACAAAAAAAAAAATTAATTTTTTTTTTGGGCTTCCCATATAATTGAAAAAGATATTCAATACTCCAAGACCACCATGTTACATTTAGATTTAGCTCCGATCAATTATGATAAACCAATTAAAAAAAATAAAATTGAAATCTCACCTTTTGAAGAGTGAAACATTAGACACCTCTTTTTTCAGCACAGTTGTGATTGGCTGGAGATCAAATCCAATATGATGTTACATGGCATGCAATAACATGTTTAATATTAAGGGGACACGTGACCATTTTGTCTATAAAAAAGAAATATAATACTTATTTTTACTTCGATTTTTGAAATGGTATCTCAAATATCATATATAGGCCTCACCTATTACATATTTGCTCATTAATTTTCTCCTAATTGGAGGTATTATATTATGGCTAAGATAAGAAACCTACTAAATGAAATTGAACAAATCATATAATTGTTATTAGAACAAATGATTAAACAATTACAACTATGAGACAGTAAATTGAAAATAAAGTGATGGATCAATCAAAAGAGTTAAAAAACTGTCTTTTATAAACTCATCCCAAATTTGACACACACAGAGAGAGAGAGAGAGCAAATGTCATCACTAACAAAATTCTTAAATAATAGCGGCTATCCACTTGTGCAATGCTTGATAAGCAATTGGTATTCCATAAAATAATTTAAAAACTTTATTAATGTTTATCCTTTTGGCATATTGTCAACTTTTTTTAGAGAAGTTTTAATCTAGTTTCATGAACACTACAGTTGGGATAAATTAGACTAAGATCATCCAATCTACCGAGCTGATCTCCGTCAGTATTCACAGAAGAAGTCAATGGATCAGACGGTTGTGATCTTCCAATCAAGCCTCCCAAACGAGGATCATGGGAGATGTTGGTCACACTCATGAGGAAAAACCAAAAAAATTTCAAATTCACTTTATTTTATTTTATAGTTATGTCAAAATATCGTCAATGGAAGAGATTCTAACAACTTGATTCATGGGATCTCCAACTCAAGAGAATAATACTTTGAGAAAACAACTTATTGTTTGATTTATAGAACCAGCAGTTGGCAAGTGGTTTCATGTTGCTCAACTTACCTTTGTTTATAACACAATCAAATAATTTATTCATAAAACACAACCAAATCAGACACCACATAACATCGATTAAGAAGTAACTTTTTCTTCTTAGATATAATACATGATTTTTTTATTTTTTATTTTTCTCCATTTTATCTATCTGAAATTCCCATATTTTTTGGGATAATTTCATAAACGGGCAAACTAATCTCAAATTCATGAAGGTGCAGATAGTTGCAAGTGAGGATTATGCCACACGGCATAACTCTCTGTAGTACTCTATGAATTTGAAAATGTTTTTCTTGTTTGCTATCTATGATGCTAACATTTTCTGTCAGCGATAAATTACATGAATCAATAATTTACACATTCAGAAATTTTACTCAAAATATATCGAATTGTGGTATATCAATTAAATCTCAACCACTCTTCCCCGTTTTGAGTAAATTTCTTGACAAATTTTCTCGGTAAGCGGAATTTACCAACATGAATTGGCTACATGGTTTGTGTCCTCTTGAAGGAACTCAAAATTTCAACACTCAAAAAAGTTTAGTTTTTGGGTATATCTTCACAAAATCTAAGAATTATGAGAACATCAATAACTGACAACAATGTTTTTGAATTTTTATATATGTGAAGTACGAAAAATGTTTCTGTTTTCTTCAATACAAAAACACTACCTTCATGAGACTTCCCATGAATTTTTCTATCATTCTTCTCTGTAGTATGCATCTGTATTAATCGAAACTTCAAATCTGAATTTATCAGAAATTTAAAAACAAACCTTGAGTGCCTATGCTTTGAATTTACACATTCAATGAATGTCTTGTGTTCTGTGATTGTTCTTGAGACCTTGTTTCTCTATTAGCAAACCATTGGACTGTTCTTCTTGCTATGGGCAACCAAAGCCTCTTCATTTTCTCTTCCTCAGCAACATTTTCAGGAACCAAAGAAGAAGAATCTCTGGTACCAATCCTACTAAATCCTGTGAATCTTGGATGAACTGTTATCTCTGACATCGATCTCTTTTCACTTAGATTCAAACCCCTTAAAGGATTTGCTTTTGAAAACTCATTTTGATTCATTTTACTAACCTTGTTTTCAAGAACCCTTTTCCTCCCAATCTCATCCTTAATCTTCATAATTTGATCACCATCTTCAACCCCTCTAGTTGACGTGGATTCCTCAATTTTTGAATCCAAACGAGTAAATCTATCGCTTGACATAGCACTAATCATCTCCGAATTCAAAAACATGAGGTCCGAGGAACTCACATTGCTCCACCGGTTCTTGATCAAACCATCCGGTACAACGATCTTGTGCTTGAACTTATGTAGATTGTCATCAACACCGGTACAATTTTCTTGGATTGGCAATTCCTCTTCCTCCTTCTCCCGCTTACCAACTTTCCTAAAACTAGTAAATCTTGATGTTGACCCGTGTCGATGATTCTCCTCTCTTTGGACAAATAGCTCTAAATTCGAGTCCCCCCCTTGTCGCTCTGACTTGTTCCATAAAAACCTCAAACTATTTGAGTATGTCAAGGCTTCAAGGTCATCGGTACTGATCTTATGCCTACAAAGAGGACAACTTGAGTGGTTTTCGAGCCATTGATCAACGCAATTGATGTGAAAGGTGTGTTTACACTTGGGAAGTAACCGGAGAATTTCAATATCTTCAAATTTACAAAGGCAAACTGAACATTCTAGACCTTCTTTCAACCCCGTAAGAGAAGAGAACCTAAAGAAAGGGAGGGACTCAATCACCGCCTTGTCGATTCCAGAGAATCGCGAGCCTGGTCTTAGTAATCCGTCAAGATTTTGTTGGTTGTTATGAATCGGTGAAGCTTGGCGACAAAACCTTGCATAGATGAGGAGGACTATTGTCAGTGAAAACATGATGGCAAGGACACCAATGACAACTGCTAGGCTTGCTTGGAAATATGTGGCTACATTTGGAGTAGAAGTCAAGTAAACTTGGCTATAGGTAGATTGTGATTCAACAAGGAAGAAGAACAAAAAAAGGAGATGAAGTAAAATTTGCATACTCAATTTGAGGGATGGACACACTTGCCTTAAAATTCTACAATTTTTTTTCCCTGGTGATCGGTTTGCCGGAAAATATGAATATTATGTATAGGAGGATCTACATGTTCATGTATATATATAAGGGGTAGTTTGAGATTGGTTGATTTGTTATACATGAGTCTCCCCCAAAAGGGTATCCTTTTTTTCTACAAAGGCTGTTCTTCTGTGTCTCATAAAATATTTTAATTTTGTAACTGTAAAGTTTTTTAAATTTTGGAGTGATGAAGAGGTGGAGAAGTTTATGTTATTATTAGAGTGGATTGTAAATTGTAATAGTGGAATATAAAATTGGATGAAAATTATTAAAAGGCATCTCAATCAAGCAAGAAAACAGTAACATGTTGTGGCAAAAACTGCATACATGCTCTCTAACAGAAAATATTAAACATGATATGTTTATGTTGGTAAAAGAGAAAAAAGGTGTGGTATTAATGTATATTAAAAAGGTGGTTGGTTGAAGATGGTCGTCGGCGGTAGTTATCAACATAAAAGAAAAAAGGTGTGGTATTAATGTATATTAAAAATGTGGTTGGTTGAAGATGGTCGTCGGCGGTAGCTATCAGTGATTGTCAGTGATTCTTGGTAGTAGGAAGTAGTTGCTGAAGGAAGTTATCAGCGATGGTGGCCTGCATAATAGTTTGTGGTGTGGTGGTGATGCGCAATGGCTAGTAGTCAGAGTGGAATAGTGAGGGAGGAATGAAATTTTATCTTCTAAACATTGAAATTATTATTATTATTATTTTTACTAGAATTTAATAAATTTCATAGACTATTTATAGTTTTTTTAAAACGAAAATAAATATCAAACAAGTAAACTGTCCCTTTTATGTGTTCAAATTTTATCCCCTCTTAAATACTTTTAATGAAAAGTTGTTTTATTTATATATTTTAGTATTTCTTTCTTCTTCTTTTTTTTGCTTTATAAATATGGTTTATGTTGGACATTTCTAAGGTTGTCAGGTTGATATCAATTTGTGTTGAATAATGTTGAGAGAAATTGTCTTGGCCTTTATGGACGATAATCAAAAGTCAATATGAGTTGCATCACAAAGCTTCCTAAAATACCAATAAGTCATGGAGTAGGAGCAATTTGAGCCTTTACTATGCATCAATGTGATTTCATTGCATACAACAATATTTGCCCTTATTTAACTATTAACCTTATAAAGTCGACTCAATACGTGTTTGGTATTTTTAATTTTTTTTTAGAACACAACATAACCCATGTAAATCTTGAATAATCATCAATAATAACAAGACAATAATGGTTATCACCTAAATTAAATGTCTTTGAGGGACCAAATAAATCCATATACAATAGTTGTAAAGGTCCAGTTGTGGAAATATGAGATTTTGATTTAAATGATGTTTTAGTTTGTTTTCCTTGTTGACAAATACTACAAAGATGATCTTTTTTAAATTTAATTTTTGAAAGTCCAATAACCAAATCCTTTCTCAAAAAATTTAGCAATTAAATCCATATGAACATGACCAAATCTTCTATGCTATAACCAACTATTTTCATTATTAACATATAAATATTTAACATCATTGGCATAGAGATCATTAAGATGAAAAACATAAACATTATCATGGCGATTACCAAAGAATAAAGCTTTATGATAATTTGTGCTTTTAATTGTGCAATATGATTTATCAAAAATATCTCGATTACCTTTATCACATAATTGACTAATATTAAATTGGTTATGCTTAAGTCCATCAACAAGTAAAACATTTTCAATAGAAGGGTTAGGAGAAATACCAATACTACCAATACCGATGATTTTTCCTTTCTTGTTGTCTCCAAAAGTAACAAATCCTCCATCTTTCGATGATAGTTTAGTAAAGAATGATTTACCTCCGATCATGTGTTTGGAACATCCACTATCAAGGTACCACTTCCCTTCTTTAACTTTGGACTTAAAACAAACCTACAAGATCACAATCAAGTGTTGGTTTTTGGTACCCACAGTTTCTTGGGTCCTTCTTGGTTAGTTTTGTTAGATCCCTTAACAATCCAAATCTTTTTAATTCCCATGTTATATTATTTTTGAATGGACAAGAAGATATATAATGACATTTCTTTCTACAATAATGACAAGTAATATAAGGGTGAGTCATGAGAGGTGCCTTTTCAAAAATTGTATTGAGATTCTTTTGTTTTTTAATAGGGTCATATCAAATGCCCGCTTTATCAAAAACACATCTTTGATTTTCAAGAAGCATGTTGAGATTATCTTTACATTTTACAAAATTTTCAAATGTTTTTGTTAAATCATCAACAATATTTTTTAAAGTAGTTTTCTCATTAGAGATAGTATCAAAATCATTTTTCAAAATAATTTTTTCTTTCTTTAATTCTTCTACATTAATAGATAAAGATGCAACAGATTTCTTCAACACATTATTTTTGGCACAAACTTTTCTAAATTCATTTGATAGTTCATGGAATGCACTTTCAAATTCTTCATAAAGAGTAGTTACCTCATCTTGAGTAGAGTCTTCATCTTCAAGAGCCATGAGACATAAGTTGGCTACTTCATTTTCAATTTCATCACTTGAGCTTTCATCTTCACTTTCTCCCCAAGTTGCTACCATGGCCTTTTTGTTTCTTTTGTAATCTTTTTCATGATTCTTCAATTTTGGGATAATCCATCTTCATATGTCTAGGATTTTTGCACTCATAACAAATACTAGGCCCTTTCTTGTTATCTTTGTTGTACTCTTTCTTTAAAGGTCTTCTTTCTCCATAATTATTTTTCTTAAAGTGCTTTTTGAGATTTCTATTAAACATGGCATAGCTTTCATCCTCACTGGAGTTTTTATGTTCTTCTTCATTTGATGAGGCTTTGAATGCAATTCTACTTTTCTTTTTGTTTTCAACATCCTCATGTCCTTTCATGGTGATCTCATGAGTCATAAGGGAACCCATAAGCTCATCTAATCCTAAGTGTGGAGAGATCTTTGGCTTCTATAATGGCGGTGACCTTTGCCTCCCAATTCTTTGATAAACACCTAAGAATTTTTCTTACCAACTCACTGTTAGTATAAGTTTTGCCAAGAGATTTCAAAGAGTTTACAATTTCAGTAAATCTAGTAAACATACTTGAAATAGATTCATCATAATTCATTTTAAACAATTCATAACTATGAACAAGCATATCAATACGAGATTCCTTTACTTGGTTTGTAACTTCATAAGTTACTTCAAGCTTGTCCCAAATTTCTTTTGCCGAATCACAACTTGAAATTCTATTATACTCCTTAGAGTCTAATCCACAAACATTGGTGAGTTTAGCTTTAGCATTGGCTTGTAATAATTTGTGATCCCTCTCATCACATTCATCTTCAGTTTTAGGTACACTAATATTGTCTACCTATTTGGTAGGAATTTTTAGACCTTTGGTGACAATAATTCACATAGCACAATCAGTGGCTTGTAGGTATAGGGTCATCTTATCTTTCCAATGATTATAGTTGTTTCCGTCAAATAATGGTGGCCTATTGGTGGCTAGTCCTTCAATAGTGTTAGTGCTAGCTAAGGTTGCCATGGATCGAAACTCTTAGATGGTTAAATCTAAAGCAAGAGTCTAGGCTCTGATACCAATTGTTACCCAAAAGACAACCTAAGAGGGGGTGAATTAGGTTTTTATAATTAAAATTAATAATACCCTAATAAAAATTATGACTAACACAATAGATAAATATAATTAATGAAATAAAAATAATTAAAACAAGTGTCTTAACAACTATGTCAATTAATGATTTTAGCACGGTAAAAATGTGAAATATAACTATGGCAATTTAAAATAAAATAAAGAGATAAGGGAGAGAGAGGCAAACAAATTTATAGTTATTCGGCTTCAACTCGGCCTACGTCCACTCCTCAAGTTTCATTTGAGATTTTCCACAATACTCTAGCTTCACAGGGTGCTAGCAACCTTTTCACAGATGAAATAATCCTCCACAGATTTTACACTGACTTTCTAAGTCAAGAACACTGAGTGTACTACACTCTTACAATGTTGAAAAGAAGGTGTTTTCGCTTTCACAAAAAGCTACAAGAATTATCTCTCAAAGATAGATATAAAAATGAAACTCTGGTTTTTCTGTAAACCTCACACAGGAAAGATGAGCTTAAAGCTATAAGGCTCAGTATATAATTTCTGAGAATAGATGTAAGTGATTATAGATCAAAGAATATTTTCAGTTTTTGTAACTTGTTTACATTAGAGGTTTTGGTATATATAATGAAAACTATAGCCCTTTATAGCCGTTGTAGTTATTTAAATTTATAGCCGTTTATAGTCGTTGTACTTCCATCATTTCCAATTTGAATATATTTCACTCCATCATTACAAATTTGAATATCTTCTACTTGAACCTTTTGGCCTTTTGAACCTTTATAGCCGTTTATAGCCGTTGTACTTCCATCATTATTAATTTGAATATCTTTCACTTGAATCTTTTGAACCTTTTGGTCTGCTTTGCTAGGCTGTTTAAACCTTTGTTTTGGGCTGTTTGAACTCCTGATTTAATCAAATATTAAATACATTCTAACAACATTTAGGATAAAGGTTTAAGCGAGAAATAATGGGACAAAATAAATTTTGATTCAATTTTTCTCTTTCAAATAAATCATCAAAATAAATTTTGATTAAAATATAATTAAATAAATCATCAAAATAAATTTTGGATTCTATTTTTCTCTTTCAAATAAATTAAAACATAATTAAATAAATCTATTTTTCTCTTTCAAATAAATTAAAACATAATTAAATAAATCATTCACATGAATTTTACACTATACAAATTAATCTTTACTACACAATCATTCATGTAGAAAATTCTGGGTGGATAAATTTGGGTTTCTAGACTTTTTTTTTTTTTTTGATCCGAAAAAAAGGACTTTGTGGTGTCATCACGGCCCCGTGGGCCCTGACCCCGGGGTAACCGGTTGTCAGTCAGGAATTAACCCTCACGAGGTGAGGGACCGACCACCAGGGCACCAATGGAGCGCAACCACACGCCCCAACAGAGGACAGGTTGTCGAGGGGAGTACAAGACGTGTTCTCTGAAGAGATTTCAAACACCTCCTCTCAGAAATCGACCCTAACTTAGTGTTGGAGAATGCATTGCATTCTCTACCAGGCCACCAATCCTAGTGGTTAAGAGGAAACTGTTTGATAGCAGGTACTAGTTTGTTAAAAAGAAATAGAGAACTAAGTTCCAAATTCTGTTTTAGCCATTATTACTTTTTTTTTCTTTTTTCTTTTCCTTTGCTCATTTTTCAATGTAAGGAATGAACGCAAACCACAAACACGAA